AAGTTAGCTATCCTATGAGCAATATCATTTAAATTTCTGCGTACATATTTGAAAGAACAGGAACCAAATAATCTAATGCGTTCCTTATGATCTTCGATGAGAACCCCATGTGTCAGGTAACACTCATCTGAGGAAGCTACCACTTGCACAGCAGTCAGACTGTTTGATTCAACAATGATACTGCTACAACCAAATTCTTTCCCCAACTGAACTCCAAAACAGATTGCTAGGACTTCTGCATGGGTGACGCCACCTTGAAAGCTCATGGTTTTTTTGCCCGCACCCAGGACTCTACCATTACTATCTCGAAGGACAACGCCAAGGCTGACCATGTCTGCTTGATGTGGAATACTAGCATCAACATTAATTTTAACCACACCCTCCGGCGGCAAAGTCCAAGCTGTTTCTACACCTTCTGAATTATGTTCGACCTCCACCAATCGCTCATCATCCACTGTGGTTGCAGCTTTGTACTCTTCTATATAGTGTTGAATATGTCGAATACTCCTATCTAGTGAGAGGCATGTATGGTTATATGTGCATTTGTTTCTGTTATTCCAGATATATCAGAGAGTTACGGCTACTATTTCATGGTTTGCTGCACTTGTTGCAAGGAAAGATGCTAGAAAGTCATCCAAAAATGAGTTATGCTGAATAGAGTGCCAAGAGGTTGTAGGAAGGACTCCATTCCACACTTTCTTGCTCCATTCACAATCAAAGAATAAATGAAAATAAGATTCCTCTGTTGTATTGCAAATACCACACCCTGGTTCAACATCAATACCCCTCGAAAGCAGGATATCACGGTAGGGCAAATTTTCCCAGATTATTCTCCACAACACATGCTTGATTTTAGGGGGAACATTTAGAAACCAGACTGCTTTCCATATTGGTAGTAAGACTTGGTCATGATCGTGATGCTCAGAACCAAAGACCAGCTGCCATGCGTATTTGTATGCCGATTTGACTGTAAATTTGCCATTATTTGTGCCCAGCCATATTAATCTATCAATAGAACAACGTCTACTAATGGGGATATGAAGAATTGCCTCAGCATCCTCGGCACGAAAAGAGTGCCTAACTGCAGCTTCCTTCCAGCAACCTCTGTCTTCATCTATTAAGTCACTAACTCGATCGTCCAAATTGTGGTGAACAAGAGCTATCTGCGGCTGAGGAATAGCCCCTGAGGGTAACCAATTATCCCTCCAAATCCTGACATCCCGACCACTGCCGATTCGCCATGTTGAGCCCATTTTAAGTATGCCGAGACCAGCGATAACCCCTCGCCAAACCATTGAAGCATTAGTCTTCATAGTAGCTCCCATTAGATCACCATCAGGAAAATATTTAGCTTTGAGCACTTGGTAGCATAAAGTGGTCTTGTCGTGCATCATGCGCCAGCTTTGCCTGGCTAACGTAGCTAAATTAAAAGCTCCGAGATCCCGAAATCCAAGCCCGCCAAGCCGCTGTGGTTGACAAATTAAGTCCCATCGTAATCAGTGGATTTTTCGTTTATCAGTGTTATCTCCCCACCAAAAGTTGCTTATGATGCTATTTAGTGATTGAAGAAAATTTTGTGGAAGCTTGAAGCAACCCATGCAATATGTAGGAATAGCTTCTACTACTGCCTTAATCAAAATTTCCCTCCCAGCACGGGATAACAGTTTAGTTTCCCATCCCTTGATTTTAGACCAAACCCTCTCACGGATAGAGTCAAAGCAAATAGATTTCTTTCGTCCAATGATAAGAGGAAGCCCAAGATATTTGTCATCTGTTATCACCTGTGATATATTCAAAGTCTGCATGACCTGATGTTGCATAGCAGGGGGAGTATTGCTGCTGAAGAAAATAGAGGACTTATCAAGATTAATTTGTTGACCTGAGACTTGTTCATATTCCTTCAAGATTTCTAAGAGCTTTTGTGCTTCTCGTTCAGAGGCCTTTCCAAACAACAAGCTGTCATCAGCAAAAAACAAGTGGGACAAAAGAGGGCAATCCTCTGCATAAAGATAGTCCTTGTAACTCCCCTCTATTGATAGAGCTTGATAAGAGGGCTGATAGACTTTCTGCACATAGAAGAAAAAGGAACTGGGAAAGAGGATCTCCTTGTCTAATACCCCTGCTAGGGGTAAATTTCTTTGTTGGACAGCCGTTAATCAATACTGCATACTTAACGGTTCGAACACACATCATGACATGGTTGATCCACTTATCGGGAAACCCCATAGCTCTCATTATATCTTCTAGGAAGTTCCATTCTACTCTATCAAAAGCCTTGCTTAAATCAAGTTTGACAGCCATATCACCTCTGTGGCCAACCCTTTTGTGCTTCAGATGATGAATAGCTTCAAAAGCTACCGTAACATTATTATAGATTAACCTTCCGGGAACAAAAGCACTCTGATTGTTTGAGATGATTTGTGGTAAGATTGATTTAAGTCTATTGGTCAAGACTTTTGAGATAACTTTGTAAAGCACATTGCAAAGGCTTATGGGCCGAAGATCCTTCATAGAAGAAAGGCATTTGACTTTCGGGATCAATACTATATGAGTAAGGTTGATATCTTTCTCCATACTCCCTTTGTTAAGGAATTCTAGGGCAGCAGCTGTGATATCTTCCCCTATAATATGCCAATAATGTTTATAAAAGCTAGCATTCATTCCATCTGGTCCTGGGGGCTTTTGAAGAATGGATTTGTTTGAGAGTAGCAAGGACTTCAGAACTCGTAAAATCTCTATCCAGAAAGGTCGCCATCAAGGGCGAGATTCTGCCCTCTAGTGCATGAAGAATTTTTCTATTTGGTCCAGAATATCTAGAGGTGAATAAATTTTTGAAGTATTTAATGCAAATTGCCTCTATTCCTGTTCTGTCTGATATAGAAGTACCATTATCATCCATTAGAGCAGCAATGTGATTCTTTTTGCGCCTTGCAGAAGCTCTGTTATGGAAGTATGCTGTATTTCTATCTCCTTCCTTTAGCCACTGTACTCTTGAGCGCTGCTTCCATAAAACCTCTTCCTTGCGTTGCCAATTGTTGAGCTCTTTTTCTAAAGCTTCCATTGTCCCCAAACTGTTGTCTTGTGCTGAGCCATTCCTGATGTGTAGAAGTTCCTGCTGCAAGTGTTTGATACGTTCAGGGATATTCCCAAATTTAGCTTGGCTCCATTCAGTGAGAAGGGAACCACATGAAGCAATTTTGGACAAAACTTGGGACATGTTCATGTTGCCCCTTCCAGCCTTCCATCCTTCCTTAATCTTCTCCTCACATTCTGGATCCTTGATCCAAAAATTCTCAAAACGAAATAACTTAGCAGGTGGATTGCGACATCTTCCTATCTTTGTGTCTGCCATTACCAAAATAGGGGCATGATCAGATCTCAATGCAAGTAAATGATGAGAAAAAGCCCCAAGAAACATATCCAACCACTCTGAATTCATCAAAACTCGGTCGAGTCTCTCCTTGATCAAATCTCCATGTATCTTTCTCATGAAAGTGAAGCGAGGACCTTTAAAACCCAATTCTTTAAAGGCACAATAGTTTATGGCTTCTGCAAAAGCATCCATTTGTCTGGAAGGTCTTGGATTACCTCCTTCCTTTTTTGATTGTCTCAGAATTTCATTAAAATCCCCTAAGCACAGCCATGGCAGAGTAGAGGCTGCCTTAATTGATTTCAAAAGAGTCCAGGATTCTTCCCTGCGGGCAACCTCTGGGCGACCATAAAACCCAGTTAACCGCCAAGGACGCCCTCTCGGATCAACTAGTTCGACATCTATATGGGATTGAGAAGCAGATGATGGTTGTAGCGTAAATTCCTCTGTCCAAAGCAAAGCCAATCCGCCCCCTCTACCAACACAGTCAACAGCAAAACAGTGTTCAAACCCAAGATCTATACGAATCAGATTCATCTCAGTGGCCGTTCGCTTTGTTTTCGAGAGGAAGATGATACTGGGTTTGTGCTGGAAACAGAGCTTCTTCAGTTCTGAAATTGCAGAGACCTCTCCGAGGCCACGACAATTCCATGCTAACATGCGAATCTAAGCCATGAGGGGATTAGGGAAAAACCGAGACAAGAGCAGAAAAATAGAGAGAGGGGCCCTTAAAACACAGGGAGGAACACCGAAGTGAGGAGCTCGCCCGTCAAAGAGGGAGAACCCTAGCAGTGGCGGCGAGAGACGTAATAAAGATCTTAATTCCTAAAATGATTTTGTTAAGTTGACCGAATGGCCATAAAAGAATGAGGAAAAAATGGCGTAAATAAGGGTATTAATATTAAATTTTTTTATTTAAACACTTCAACTTTTAATATTTTAATTAAAAATTATTTGTCACGTTAATATTATTTTTCAATGAATGATTAAATAAAAAAACTAAAAGTCCATACTCTTAAAAAAAATTTAAAAATTCAATTTTTTATTTAAAAATTAATAAATTTAATATTGTTAAATAGAAAAAAAAGGAATAAAATTAATCTTTATTTACACTGACTGTTATCATTTTATGCAGCGAAACCATATAGATATATATTTTTTCTTAAGTTTAGGGGAACAAGAAATAGATCTCCCCCACTCACCAATTCATCATGGAGATATTGAGCTCTCAGGTTGGTTATGTCCCTTACAATTTCAAAAGCCACCATGCTTTTATTCTCTGGGCATTGATTTATCTTCACATTTGGTTATGTATTCTTTTTAGGACTGTGGTTCTGAGATTTGATTTCAAGTATTGCAAGGGTTTAAGACTAACTAGGGTTTATTGGCACACACTATTAAAATTAAAGTTTCGATTTTTATTAAATTTTTGCTGGAAATTTAGTTAGCCATCTTCTAAATTAGGAATTAGGGCTTTTATGTTTAAATATATATCTGATTCATACAAGGGTTTAGAATTGGTTAGGGTGAGACTGAGTTTTAGGGATTTCGTTTATATGTTTACTTCAGGGATTGATTGTCATGCTTAGTTCTGGTTTACTTCAGGATTTGTAATGTCTTCTACTTTTGCTTGTTTAGCATGAGCATCTCAGTTAAGGTTTATGACAGCTAAAGAGGATTAATTATGTTTAGATCTGCAAATCATCTCCCCTTGATTCATATGTTTTCTATTGGAATTTCGCTTCGAAAAGGTGAAAAGCATGATGTGTCATGGCATTAAAAAAATTAGGACATTTAATCTAAATCACATGATAGATACGATTTAAGTGAAACCTAAATTAAATCCCACTCATCTTTTGGCTATCATTAGACATTACCATATTTTTTATGCCAGAACTTCCTGTTTTTCCCCAACCTCATTTCTCTTTCTTTCTTCTTCTTCTTATTCCTTTTTTTTTCTTTTTTCTTTTTTTTTTTTTCACTAAAAATTGAAACTTTTATGCAGAAACGAATGCTTGAACACATGATGAAGGTGGCAAGCTCAATGAACATTTCACTTCTCATACTAAAAAACAACTTGAAGAATACACACTGAACCATGTGAAGCTGCATACTCAGATTCCTGATCATCCCCCTTATTCATTTGTACTTGTCTTTATTATCATCATTTTTCTATAAAATGAATTCTCTTTACCATATCTTGTCCATTTCAATGTGTAGATGAAACAAAGGGCAATCGAGGAGTTGAATCAAACTAAAGGATCAAGTAAGTAAAGAAGCAATATCCAAGTTTATCAAGGAAAATTATCAACACATCCCATGATTCCCATTTGCTCATGAGGTTCTATTGCATTTGCAGAAACTTTGTGATATAGGTGAAATTGTTATTACTAATGATGTCGACTATGCGTTTGAGCAAGGTGATTCTTCTTTATAAACAAGGATCAAGGTAGGAAACAAATTAATTGTTATGTTATGATTAATTTTTTTCTTGTTCTAATTTGTTCATCAGCTATGCAACATTCCCTGAGTTGTGCATATGATATTTTTATTGACATTAGGGTATTAGCCAGGATTTACTTGTTTTCTAGAAGATTTAGGCAACAGAAGAGTTAGTAGAGTCCTGGGGATTTGATGAATTATATTGAACCCAATACCCAATTCCATTATGCACAGTATTAAGCTTAATTAGGTGTAGATACATGGCTTTATGTTTATGTTCATGTTTTCCCCTTTCCTAGTGCAGGGTTTCAACTGGTCATATCTTGTGTTTTTTTTATTTTTTTTATTTTTTTATTTTTTAACACACATCTCCATTTGGGATCATGATTTGAGTTATAAATGTGAATTGGGGCTTTTGGGGGGATCTCTTTGTGTGGCGGATAACATATGGATCATGAGAAAATAAGATGAGGTGATAAAGACAACAAAATCTTGGATTAAATTCATCAGAATCTCAAGAAGCTGGGAAATAAGAATCCATAGTGCAGTGAGTCCCATGTGTTTCACTGAAAATGGTCAAGTCTTGACAAATGAATATGGCACTCGGTTTTATATATGCAATTCCATATGTAGAGAGCTTGGTGTCAACTTACTTAGTGCAACTTATTGTTTTGAATTGGAAAAATAGGCATTTTATTTATTTTGCTGCTCTTAGTTACATGACAATGTTGTATGCTGAGCTTCTTCAATGAACTTCTTCCAAGTATTTTGTATTCATGAATTTTACTTGTTAAATTGTAGAACAGAATTCCTCTTTTTTTTTTTTTTTTTCTTTTGAATGCTTCATTTTCAAATAAATATAACTAGGACATGAAAGCCACTTATTTAACTACTAGTGGCAACTCTAAACATATTACATTACTGGAAACAAGTGTACTTAGCTTAGTTTACAGATGCAGAGAGGTGACAACATCATCAGAATCCGAACAACCCTCGGGTTTGATCGAAGAAACTTCTGAATTAGGCATCTTTATGGGCAAAAGACTCATCAAAACTGGTGTGTTCATACTGTCCATGGACGACTGCTTGCTTTGTGAATCAGAATCAGACCAGAGG